CCCCGGCCCACAGGCAGGGACACCTTCCACTAGACCAAGTTGCTCCAAGTCCTGTTCAGCCTGGCCTTGAACACTTCCAGGGATGGGGAAATCCACAAGCCCTCTGCCCCACATCCCCAGGGACGGTTTGTGTGGCTCCAACAACTCCCATCACCCTCCCACCATCTCCCATCATCTCCCCTCGCCGCACCGTGCTGCTGGTGGTCCCGGTGGTCCCTGCCTGCTGGAAATGTGCAGCCAGCCCAGCTTTATCCTTGCACTGCTCCTTGCACTCCAGGCACCTGAAGCAGCTGTAGTTGCTCTGCTCCGAACCACTGCCCAGAGGCAGGATAGGCAGGTCCTGAGCCCCACTGGCCATGACAAAGGCATCCTGAGCCACGCCAGCCACCTTGCTGGCAGGGAAGGAGGTCACTGAGACCAGGGGGGTGATGTCCGGCTGCCCAATCATCTGATCCAAGGCTATGGGCCGCATGACCAGGTGGGAGCACTGCATGACCAGCCCCTTGTCCTTGTGCTCACGGGCATGTAGCAGCAGGCTGCACTTGTTGAAGAAGATGAGGCGCTTGGTGCAGTGGTTGCAGGTGACCTCGATGCGCATGCTGCGACGATCATAGTGCCTGGCCAAGCTCTTCTCCAGTGCAAAGGAATCCCCACACTCCAGGCAGCGATATCCAAAGGGAGGCAGCGAGAGGCTGGCGTCAGCTGGAGGATTCAGGTTGGGTTTGTATGTTGGCAAGAGGTTCTTGCTGTTGAGGATCTTGTTGAAGGCCTCCACCAGGCTGGACTGGCTCCTGGAGATGACGGTGCTGGCGATGGCTGGCGACGGCTTCTGCGGCTGCACCATCACCACGGTGGTGCCATTGACCTTCTGGTTGGCTGTGGTGGTGATGGTGGTGGTCTGTGTGACAGTGCTGATGCTGGTCCTGGTGTCAGCCTTGGGCAGGGTCTGGGGCACCAGGTTGATGATGTTTTTGGTCACAGCTTTGCCCGTCTTGGCTGGCAGCACCACAGACTTCTGCTGGGCCACGCTGGCGGCGATCAGCATGGCGCTGCTGGCATTCTGGATGGTGGACACGGGCAGAACGGTCCCTTTGAGCTTAGTGCCGTTGCCAAGCTGAACACTGACAATTTTGGGCCCCTCAATGGCTTTCAAGGGGCTGGAGAGCTCCAGTTTCTCCTTGGAGACCTCCAGTGCGATCCCTTCCTCTTTCTCTGCTGATGCTGACAAGCTGGAACCCTCCAGAGAGGTCTCCTGGGACCTCTGCTCAGCTGCACCCTTGGTGGAAGCTGGCTCTGAGTCTGAGGAGACCCTGGTCACCGTCCGGGTGATGCTGCCACAAGATGTTTTGATGGTTTTAATCCGCACTTTGAGTGGCCGTGAGGAATTGGAAGAAGGGGAATCATTGTTGTTGTCTTCTTCCTCTTCCTCAGCGCTGGACATGCTCTGTGGACTTCCCATTGACCTATCCCGAACTTCTTGCTCTTCCTTGAGGGTGATGTTGTCCAGCTGCTTTGGAGAAGTTGGGAGCCTTGGGCTCTGTACCACTGGGGACGAAGGCTTGAAGAAGGGCTCACGGGGACTGGTGGGTGAGCACTTCACCTCGGCCATGTTGCTGGTGCTGCTGTCCAGGTTTGGATTGGATCCAGGCCAAGATGTGATGGGAGAATCATCCGTGGAGTAGCGAACAGTGACGGATTTCAGGTGCTCCAAGGGACTGTCACCCAAGGCCACAGCCAAGCCCTTGGGGTTGGCCTCGCGGCACACCTCCTCTGAGTCAGACTCCTCCTTTTTGATGCAAGGGATGGGAGAGGACCCATTTGCACCTCCTCCCTGGCTTGTTTCAAAGGGCTGTGGGAAAGCTGGGGGTAGGTTCTCTGTGCCCTCTCCCATGGGCTCCTTGCAGTCCAGGGCTGGGGTGGGAGATGGGGAGAGGGAGGGCACAGCCAGGGATTTCTCCTTCAGTTTGCACTCCTGAGGTCTGTCAATCAGGTTGGCAGCGCTGTCTTCATTGGGATCGGGGCTAAAATGGGAGAAAAGATCCAGGGGTTTGGGGCCTTTCTCCTTCACCCAGCATTCCCCATTGGAGGATACCACAGCCTCCACAGACCTGGAAGTGGGGGATCTGGGCATATCAGTGGCCCCAAAGCCGTTCTGCAGCAGTCGGGGGCCAATGCTGTGCCCATCCTTGCTGCGCCCGTCCAGAGCCTCAAGCTGCTCAGGGCACACTGTGTTCTTCACGATCACACTGACAGCTGTGATGTCTGCGTGGGGCAGCACGTGGTCAGGGGGTCCAGGCTCCCCTGGGACCTGCTTGATGTGGCTGTCAGCCTCCTCATGGCCAGAATGGATGGCCTCGTTGGTGTCGATGTCGGGAATATCGAACGCTGCCAGAAGGTCATCAAAATCCGGAGTCTTCATGTCACCCATGGTGGAGGATGTGGCAGATGCTGTGGAAAAACAAGGAGAGGAGTGTTAGCACCATGACCAGGGCATGCAGACGATATGTCAGAGACATGGAGCAGAGACATAGGTGGGAACTTGCTTCTCCCAAACACACAATTCCCGTTTCTCCTTTCCTTTGCACCCCAGCCTTGGGCAAATCCCAACACTCCTTGGCCTTTTTCATTCAATTTGTTTATAATTTTTTGGTTCCCAGATAGGATGGCAGAAAGCTCAGACAGATTCCAGTGCCCTGGGAAAGTCATTGAAGACCACAGGATGCAGCCAGGAAGGAGCAGTGCTCCAAGGAAATTCCCAAGCTGAAAAAGGGGAATAGATCTGCAGAGGATTGGAGGGTGTCAGTGAATCTCCAGACAGACACAAGCCAGGAGCAGGGAGCTGCAGAAAAGGGGAACAGGCTGGGGCGGACCTGAGACGACACAGGAACTGTCCTTCACCTTGTGCTCAAAACCTGCTCTGCCATAAACGCTTATTGGTTTTCACCAGGGTTTCTAATGGGGAAAGAACTGTTATTTTAGAAGTCCTAAAATTCTAATCTTAGAAGTACTGAAATTCCCCAGTTCAGTCACTTCCAATGGAAGAGGAGCCATGGTCTGGAGTCAGTAACTCCCATCAAAAAGAAGACAGAGAAGAGCCCACCTCCACCTCCAACCCCATCAGGCTGACCTGGGAAATTACTCTGGAAGCTCAAAACACAACTATTTTTTAGGCAAAAGAACTGTTTCGCGGAGGTGACACAAGGCCAACGTAGGGGAAGAGAAAGGTGTTTTGGTCCCCTGACTTGACAGCTTGGGAAACCACGACACAGGGGGGAGAGAGTCAGAGATCCAAACTCACCTGTGAAAAAGAGCCCCAAATCCTCCTTGGATTTGAGGAGGGAAGTGGCGGGAGCAGAAGGTTGCCAAACTTGTTTGCCAACCTACCCTGAACATCACAGCCCTGGCTCAAAATTAGAGACTAGCAGACTTCTCATCTGAACTTCCCTGCTCTGAGATCCTGCTGCTACCAAAAACACAGTAAAGCCCTTGGGGTGCAGGATCACCCCAAAAAACACCCCACAGAGATGGTTATCCTGATGGGAAACACACAGCAGGGCTGTGCCCCTCCACACAGGGTACAGAGCAGGGCCAATGGTTACTTGTATCCCCTTCCCATCCCAAAGATCTCTTTCGCACCCCAACCACCCCCTCTCCATCCCAGCCATCCCCTCTCCACCCTAACTATTCCCTTTCCAACCCATCCACCCTTCTTCTGCCCCATTCATTCCCCTTCCACCCCGTATCTCCTCTTTCCACCCCAGCCACGTTACAGTCCAGCCTCCAATGAGTGACTCCTGAGGTGACAAATGCCACCTGTCACCCCAAGGTGACACAGGGTTTGGAACTGAAATCACAGACACTGTCCATGCTCAATCCAGCCCAGTGACACAGGGTTTGGAACTGAAATCACCGACACTGTCCATGCTCAATCCAGCCCCTCCTCCTGCAAAGCACAAACTGGAGAGACAGGCCTAGGGGTCTGTCTGGGGTCACCTGTCACATCCTACATGGAAAATTGGGAGTAAGGACAGCAATTTACCTGTTGAACCACTCAGGTACTTAGAGGTAAGGGGGTCTAGCCATGCTGCGGTCACACTCGGGGCGGTCCTGACAGGAAGAGGAAGGTCTGCTGACACCCCACTGCCAGGTTCACATTTCTGCCTTCTATGAGAGCAGGAGACAGGTCTTGGACTGCTGCCCTTGTCAGCACAGCAAACATAATAAAAACCCACCGGCTTTGCAAAACCAACCATGACAAAGAGGAGGTTCCACTCCCCGGGTCTGGGTCGCAGACCCGCAGCTCCAAGGCTGGAGAAAGCCAAGTGTCTCAAACAAATTCAGCAGTGCCAGAGCCTAGGTGTTCCCCAACAGACTGATTGTCCCAGCTGAGGCCCAGACAAACGCAACTCGTATCAGCAATGCACAAAACCTGTCCCAGGGCTACACCTGCCCCAGCTCCATCGCAGCACCCCAAGACACAGCCCTCAAATTGACCCAGCTGAGGGGAACCACTCTAAGAACCCCAGAAACCAACAGGACTCCAAGCTAAAACAGTAACAAATGCTGAACCAAAACTGCTGCTTTCAAGGCTCATTTGCTTGTTTAATCCACTATGAAAAGCTAAAATGTTGTTAACAATCTCCTCTCCCCAACCAAGCCTTCACTGAAGCAAAGCTGATTATCCACCTGCCCAGCTCTCAGTTTTAGGACACTGATTCCCAACCGGCAACAGCATGTGGCAGTCTTCCTTTACCCAGGAAAGGCAAGGCTGTTTTCCTTTCCCCTGACTGCTCCTTTAGATTAACCTCCCCCAAAATGTGCAGCACCCCCATGCCATCAGCTCCTACAACTGCTCACCCGTCATCAGCTCCGCATGCTGGATCAGAGCCAACCCTCCCACAACCTGATCCCATTAAACCACATCCAAAGGATCCTGCCCTGGAAAACCCTCTGGCTGTGCCACCATGCAGTCCTTGAGATCTGCTTTCTGACCAAAGCTGCTCCCACGGCAGCCTTTGGGAGCAAGGGGCTGTGAAATGCTGCTGATCCCAGGATTTGGCAGGGGCACGGGTATTTGCACACTCACCCTCAACTTTGGGGCCCAGAGCCCCGCAAAGTGCTTCCCACAGCCAGCTTTTGGCCTGGGATCAGCGGGAACACTGGAGTCCCATCCACTGAGCCTGGCCCGATCGCTCCGGCGCAGCCCACAGAGCAGTTCTGACAGCAGAGGCCAAATGCTAGGACTATTTCAAGGCCTTGCTATTTATAAAAGCTGCTTTTCCTGTTTTCCTTCCTGACTCTTGCAGGGACTCACTGTCTGCCAGCAAGTTTGTCCCAAAACAAGAAGAAAATTTACCCTCGGAGCCCGAGTTTGGGCCGAGTGGAGCCGGGTTTAGCCCTGCCCTGCGCCGGGCCCGAGGCTTTGCCTGCAGCCGCTGCGTCCGAGGCCTCTGCGCTCCCAGCACCACGTGACAGGCAGGATTAGCTTCCGAGGCACAGAGGAAACCTTTGACAAAGCCTGTCCCTGTGTCCCTGCTCCCAGGCCTCCAGCCCGCAGGCTCCCATGGGCTGCCAGTGCTGAGGGAATGCTGGAAAAAAACAAACCTCCGGCGCTGGGATCTGCAAAACATGAAATAACGAGGAAAGGTTCACCTGGACTTGAGATTGCTGCCTCTCCAGTCCTCACGGCGCTCTCAGAGCTATTTTGGAACTGATCCCTGCTCCAAAGCCCAGGGCTTTGTGAAAGGAGACGTCCCCAGGAGAAAAACTGGAGCCCCGGGAGTGCAGGATTATACGATTCCCCTCCCAGACAATCTTCAGGGACTTTGCAGGGGGGACGATGGGGGGAAATTCCCTGAGCAACAAAACTGTAGCAGCTCCTCTCAGCTTCAGTGGCTCCTTTTGCTTCCCGAATCCTTCTCAACCCCCTGTTCTCAGTAACTGGTAGGGAGGAGGAGGAAGGGAAAGCCCAGGGTAGTCCATTTTGGGATGTTTATGCAGCAGCCAGCGTTCATCCATTCCTCTTCCCTCCTCTCTAGGAGTTTAGAATCACAGAATCACTGAATCCTGATCTGGAAGGGTTGGAAGTTGGATGAATCCACAAGGATCATCAAGTCCTGGCCCTGCACAAAATCCCAAAACTTCTACCATGGCACGAGCAGCCTTGGCTTTGCAGAGGAAAGCCATTTTATAATGAGTGGGTTTTGTTTAGATGAGTTAATTCAGTTTATTGGTATAACACACGGTGCCCTGCTTCAGAAAGGATCTCTCCAAATCTCCCAAAAGCAGCCACACATAGCTCTGTCCCCCAGCAAAAAGGTGAAACCAATTTGATACTTTTCAAGTGACACAGGACAGTGACATTTACAGCCCAGATTGAAGAAAAGGTCAAAAAACAAACGAGATTTTAGGAGCTATCATTACTTGGATTAAGGATTCACCTGGGAGGATAATTTGCTTGGAAAACACAGACTGCGCTGCTGCCAACCCAGCAAACTGCAAGGGGGCTTTGTTTTTCTCACTATCTCCAACCAGCATTTCCCTCCCGAGGGAGACCTGCACACAGGTAACATCCTAATGAGCTCCAGATGAAGTTTGGTTTTAGCCTTGCTACTGGGAAACTGAGGCAGGGAGTGATGGGAATGCAATGGAGCTGGCGCAGCCCCCAGCTGGGAACCATCTCCCACCACATCAGGGCTCTTCCTGCCACAGATGGATCCCACCCTGCCAAAACCTTGTACCAGTTGGAGCTACATCCTTCCCCTCTCTGTTTTCTTCACCTCCTGCTCCCACCCTCCTGGGATCTAGCCTGGTGCCAGATTCTCCGCCTTCACCTTTCGTTAGCAACCCCTCGCTAATTTCCAGAGCTACAATTAGCTTTGCTAATGGAAAAGGCAGGAGGGATTCAGATGAGCTTTGGAAGAGACAACAGAAAGGCAGGAGAGAAACAAAGGTCAACATTAAGAATGGCTCTTGCACATTAAGTCTTTAATTCCATGTGTGTGAATCCAAAATTAACACCTGTGGATTCACCAACATGGAATGAAATCTTCCAAGCCCCTTTTCTCCTCCTTATCAGGGAGAAGATATTACCTCCAGCTTTTTAAGGTGGAGAAAGCAGACAAAGAGGAGAAGCATTAAGGGCAGCAAAGCAGTCTGGGTGGGGGACAGGCTGTGCAGGACAGTGACACACCTGTCACCCAGCAGACCCCCCGTGCCTGCCCCACACTCTTCCACAACTACAAATGCTTTTCCACCCCTTCCCATGCCACATTTACACCTCGAGTGACCCACAACGTCCACTTGCCATCACGCCCCTTCTCCCACCTGCATCCACTTGTTCTGTGCTTGCATTCCAAACCCACGCAGCTGATTCCCAAATCTCAGCCCCTGACCCCTTGGCAGCACACCAGATTTCACTCTCGGCCT